AGAGCAGTTCTTATTTATGAAATGCTACATATAAGAAAGAATGCCACTTTATGATCAAGATATAGATGTTACTTCACTGTTTGCTATATTATGAACATTGTTCATCAGTATAACTTAATATTTCATGCCTAGTAACCAAGCGCAGTCAACATGTTCATTTGAAAGATATAAGGAACAACTTAAATAAAAATGAAAATCAATACGGTGCCTGCATGCCTCAGTTGGTTAAGCGTCTGCCTTCAGCTCAGGTCATGATCCCAGGGTCCTGCGATTGGGTCTCGCATCAGGCTCGCTGCTCAGCGGAGAGTCTGCTTCTCCCTCTACCCCTAGCCCCTGCTCATGATCTCTCTTTCACTCTTTCTCTCTCTCAAATAAATAAAATCTTTGAAAAAAAAGAAAATAAATAATACTGATTTGGGTAGGATCCTAGTGTTAAATACCATTCTAGTTTAGATATTAGAGATAGTACCTGAAATTTAATTTATTCTTAATGAATATGGAGGAAAAGGGCCTGTTTAATACATTATTACTTGTGATATACATGGATACCTCATAAGATGTATAAATGACAGTTGGTTGATTAATATTTTATTTATGATTCAGTAGGACTGACAGGCACATTTTTATCAGAAATATAACTTCATATTTCATAAATACGTTTTCACATTAGAAATCTGAGCCGTGCCTGTTCATTAGCTGATGTCTGTGAATAAAATGAACAAGTTTGGGGCCCCTGAGTGACTCAGTTGGTTAAGCATCTGACCCTTGATTTTGGCTCAGGTCATGATCTCAGGGGCATGGGGCAGAGCCCCAGGCAGGGCTCCCTGCCCAGGGGGGAGTCTGCTTCTCTCCTCCTCCCTCTCCCTCTGCCTCTTCTCTCACTGGCTCTCTCTCTCAGATAAATAAGTCTTTAAAAAAATAAATTTAGTAAAATGAATGAAAAGAAAACACATAAATATAGGGCGCCTTGGTGGCTCAGTCGGTTAAGCATCTGCCTTCAGCTCGGGTCATGATCTCAGGGTCCTGGGATCGAGCCCCGATTGAGTCGGGCTCCCTGCTTAGTGGGGAGTCTGCTTCTCCCTCTCCCCACTTGCTCTCTCTGTGTCTCTTTCACTCCCTCTCTCAAATAAATAAATAAAATCTTTAAAAAAGGTAAATAGTATTTAGTTAGTATTGTATTGTTCACTGGAGGCAATTTCATAGGCATACAGATTGTTCTTTTCAGATTTACATATTAGGTAGTGGTAATATGACACAATACAAATGTCAGTAAGTTAGTTTTTTCATTATTCCATCAATCTTCCTGATAAAGAATGGATGTATATCACATACATTATTAGAAAATGTCAACAAGAATTGAGCCAAAGAACAAATTAAACTGAATGGATTTCATGAGAGTAAAAGAAAATAGGATTGATAAACCCATTAAACTTTCCTCTTACCCTTTGAAAGTAAATGCCTTTAGAAGTTTCAAATTATTTTTTTAATTGGTTAGGCATTGAGGAATAAAGTTAAAACTCTTCACAGAAGTATCTTTCTCTGATACATGAATTTGGAGAAGTCTGTTTTGTGACTAGTATAAATTCTACTTTTTAGATCCAGATAATTAACTGTGTCTTCTTTTGGTATCGCTTTACCTTTTATTGAAATGCTGAAATGCGGGGTGCCTGGGTGGCTAGTTGTTAAACATCTGCCTTCGGCTTAAGTCATGATCCCAGGGTCCTGGGGTTGAGCCCCACATTGGGCTCTCTGCTCCTCGGGAGGAGCTTGGCGGGAGGCCTGCTTCTCCCTCTCCCACTCCCCCTGCTTGTGTTCCCTCTCTTGCTGTCTGTCTCTCTGTTAAATAAATAAATAAATAAATAAAATCTTTAAAAAAAATTAAAAAAATGCTGAAATGTTTCATTAAAAAAAAGAATCACTGGGATTGCTAAACATTGCTGCAGCTTACCTTGAGAAGTGTTTGTTTGCATACGATTTTACAGTCATACCTGTTTTTTATTTGATTCACACCAACCCTTTGGAGGCTGGCAGGAAGATGTAGCCTCTGAATTCTATTTTAGCAATATCTGAAAGACTGACAGAGGCTATTTGATTTGCCCAAGGTGACCAAATTAGTAAGTAGTAGAAAGTTGGAACTCTAAAGCAGATATTCTGATTTTTAACTGCTTTTTTTTTATTTAAAAATAATTTATTTCAATAAGTACATATTTCTTGATTCTCAATAGGAATTTTGACCAAGAATTTATATTAAGTGTTACCAAATATTTTCAGTCTTTATCAAGAATCCTGGGTTTTTTCTACCTTTTTTTTTTTTAATTTTTTTTTTATTCTTATGTTAATCCCCATACATTACATCATTAGTTTTAGATGTAGTGTTCCATGATTCATTGTTTGTGCA